CTTGAAAAGGACTTTGATGTAATTTTATAGTGTCATACAGGGTGTTAGCCAGGAATAAATCTTTTACCACATTTTTACGATATTGGCAATATTTATTGGTAATTTTCTAAAAAATAATGAGAATATTTATTGAAATTGTCCTATCACTTCCACAAAAAAAAAGGTCATTGAATATTTGGAATTTTAAACTGATTGGGAATTCCGTGGTAAACATGGTACTAATTGACTGGCTATCCATCTGTCATATTATATGATGCAGTAACTTATGATTTAATGTGATATGCTGAAGCTTAAGTTTCATTTAACAATTACAGAACTGGATATTATTAAAGTTTTGAATAATATTCAGTTCTGTATTTGTCATAAATGTCATTTGGCCAGTTAATAGAAATGATTTTTTTCAAAGCAGATTTTCTATCAGTAGAAGAAACTACTAATATTAATTTCATTGAAACAAATCTTGTTGCTGATAGATGTAACATGGCTATTATCAGTGCTTTCTGTCATCTATCAATTGTTTAAGTAAGAACCATCAAATGGTTTCTATAACCCAAATATCTGCTTTTAGCAGCAACCTGAATTTTTCTGAATTCTATACACTTGCTTCTACAAGTCAAACATTTGAATTTTCCAGCATAATGTCCACTTTTTTCAGCATTTTAACCACTTCTACATGCGTTGCTAATACACACCATTTCAAAATCTCCAAGGTTTATTATTTTAATACCAAAGCAGTCATTGCAAAGAAAACTATCAAGGAAAAGAAGAAAAACTACAATCCTGACCACCTCTCCATAGAAAGTCTTGTTACAAGACACCCTCAGTGAGTTTGAGCCAAATGCATCAAATATAAGAAAAAAAAGGCTCAAAGAGTCAAACAAAAAAGGTTATACTTAAAAAAAAAAAAGAAAATATTGAAGTAGGCGGAAAAACATCTAAAAAAATGAAAAACAACAAAAAAGTCAGGAAAGATACTTCCTGTGTATATTTCCAAGAAAAATACTCAACTAGTGTTGAAATTTGGGTTTTTGTAGAGATTGTAATGGCTAAGCACATTACTTGTGAGCATGGCACATGACTTGTGAGCTGGGCACATTATTTGATGTTGGGCACATTACTTGTGAGCAAGTAAAAGTAAAAAGATAAAAGACCAAGATTAACTTGTAAACATTGAAGTTTACAAAGTAACAATAACAACTTATGTTATTGTTATATTGTTGCCTCCTTGCTGCCTTAAATTGCCCCGAATTCGGCAAAATATATATATATATTTTTTGAAAGACTTTTAAATGTTAAATTTTTTTTTTTTCGTTTAATGGTGTTGTCTTTTTCGTTTGTAAAATAGTATTTTGTCATCTAAATAAAAAATTATTTTGATTTTAATTATTTTTGCCAGTTTCTTGATGACTTTCTCATTATACTATAGTTTCAACGAAGTAGTAACACATTTAATATCTAAATTTTAAATATTGCACCAAAATTAAACACAACTATCAATATATTAACTATACAAACTTAATTTCATAAAAAATGTTTTATAAAAAAATTTCACAGTATTAGAAAATTTTATCATATGTTAATATACTGTATAATATATAAACAATAATAATGCAATATTAGCACAAGCAATTAAATTGTAAAATAATGTTACCATTATTCTGATTTAAAACATAAAAATTGCGAATAGAACCATCTTGAACTGGATACCATGGATCAGATGCATAGACTTTAACATCTTCAAAACTTCTAGCATCATTATTTTTTTCAGTAAACACAACTTCTCCATTTAGTTTTATAGTATATATATAAGCATTTCCTTCAAGATGCTGTCTTATTTCAACATTTGTCCATTGCTTAAGAGCAATTGGTGCAGTGTCAAAATATCGATTAATATTACCATTGATTGGAGCTGCAATATGAAGACCTCCATTACCACTATGATGAAACCACACTCCTGGCACTCTATCCCCATATCTGGACACATCTGAACCAATAGTAAAGTGAATAACACTTTTCCATCCAACATTAAATGAGTTTGGTTTTAGATCAAATGAAACTATGAATTCTTTATCAAGTTTAGGAATAACAGCAATCAAATTTCCTTTCACTAATAGAGTTTCAATATTCAAAAGTTGCTCTATAAAATGTAAAAGCATAATATAGACTACTTTTAAATGACATATTTTTAGCTAAATATTGAATAAGTTAAAAAAAATACCTTTTCTTAAAATTTGTGAATTTTGTGAAGGTAATAAATCTAAATATTGAATAAATTAATTGAACAAATTTGATACATTTAAAAAATAATTACGAGAATAGAATATAAAAATCTTGATTACTGAATCCGATATACATTTATTGACACACTTTTAGAAGAAAAAAAAACTAACATTCATAAGATTATAAAATCTTAAGAACCAAGAACTAATTCGTACAGTCTTTTTTTAATTTTCCATAAACATCCGATTATATGGGCTCTAAATTCATACCAGTGATTAACAAAATTTTAGGAACTATCCATTGAAGTAAAAAACATTTAAATAGTAGAAATCCAGCTATGAATCCAGTGAACCATGTAAAAATAAAACATTTCATCAAAACTTTACATGTTAATTTGTTACATTAAATATTTAAAAACTATGTGACAATTTTGGATAAGGGAAGAGGGTTATTTAATTTTGTGATGCAACATTTTTTTCATGTTTCAAATCTAGGAAATCTATTAAAAGAGTGCCTAGCCTAAATCTTAAACTCTGAGTTAATGTATGTACAGGCGACTGCAGCTATTCCAATTTAACTTTATTAAGACATTTTAAATTGACTTAAATATCGTTGGATCTTTTTAAATTGACTGAAACGTTGGTAGAAACTTTGTTGAAGCTACAACTTTATCAGTCCAACATATAGCCAATATATCATTGATAAAAAAAAGTAATTAATAATAACATATTTATTAAATAAATATAATAATATAATTATTATTTAAACAACAGTAATAGTTAATACGCATAGAGTATAATAATGTTAATACACCGCGACACTTATTGTTAAAAAATTTAATTAAATACTATATTTATCAATAATATCTTTGGTGATTATTTGTCCATTTAGTCACTGTCTATTGATATAACTTTATGTCAAACTATAAGAGCGTCAAAAAGAATATATTTACACTCCGCTTCCCCCATACCTATTTAAGTCAGCTGATGTATGTAATTACACTGCGATTAGAGTTATTTTCAATTTATGTAAATTTAAAAAATAAGTATGAGTAAATAAAGCATAGTTTTAACAATGACTATAGTTGAAACATGTAAAACAACTTTAAATAATAACATCAAAATTTATAATTTCGATCTTTCAAGAGAGAGTAGAACCCACACCTTTGGTAGTTGCGCCGCGATAACTGCAAGTTTACTTATTAGATCAGGGAGATTATGAAGAAAAAAAAAATTGTTTTTCTTTTATATATATCCAAATAAATAGTTACAATTTATACTTTTGTGATAAAGTTTATTAAAATAGATAAGTTTTTGAACCTAAAATGACATAAATTAGCGATTTTATTTTATTTTTATCTAATATCAACTCAGTTTAATTAAACTTCAACAAACACATTTTTTTTACAAAAAAAAAGTACCGACTCCAAAAATGGAAAATGGAAATTTTTTCAAAGTTTTTCTATATAGATTTTTCAACTAACTTTTTTAAAATCATCATTAGATTTCCTATTTTATAAAACCCAAGATGACTATATTTTGGGTAAGTTTCTTTTTTCACATATTAAGAATCTCGTCAGATTTTTGGGGCAGTTTCCACAAAAGTTTAAAAACTTTTAAGGAAACTGCCCCAAGTTTATTTGCATTCATTCCCAACAAGGCTGCAAAGAACCACTATTAAGTTGGGAGTTACTAAGAAAAAAAAGAACAGAGTTATAGAGCAAGGAAACGGTTGACAGAAGATTTGAAAAGTTGAAGGTTGTATGAGTCAGGAAAACATGAAGATGGGAGAGAGTTCCAATGGATTAAAGTGCGGGGAAAAAAACTAGATGAATTAAAGTTTTTAGAGCATGCAGGGACAGATACAGTAAACGAATGAGACTTAGCTGAATGACAAGTAAAACGAGAATGAATTTCAGTTGATGGAACTAGAGATGATAACTCCTTTGAGTAGTGATCATGATAGTATTTGTAAAAAAGAGAAAGAGATGCAACTTTACGACGATGGGAAAGAGGCTGAAGCTTAGCAGATAGTTCAGGTCCAATAACAATGTGTTTTTGGACCTTGTCAAAAAGAGAAAGTGAATTGTTAGAAGAATCAGCCCAAATATGACAACAGTATTCCATACAGGGACGAATAAGAGATTTGTATTTGATAATCTCAAAACTTTCCCAGTGTGTATAAAAACCTAAGCAAATTCTAAAAATTCATACAAAGTTATACAAAAAATCTTTTGTGGTATTTTTTGACCATGCACCCATCAATATATATACAGGGTCGGACTGGCACTAAGGGGCCCAGAGGGGGAGATATAGATTGGACCCTTATGGATACCAAAAAATTTATCAAAAATAAATAAACTCATTTAATTTATACAAAAAACTGAAATATGCTTACTAAGAAATTATAATATTTTAATTAACAAAATATCTACCCTCAATAAATATTTCTGAGCTTTTCTGGTTGGGAAGCACTGGCTTATTATAAGTCAGTGCTTATTGTTATTATTACGTTCTGAATATCTTAACAATATAATCATGGTAAGGATGGGGGCCCAAAAATAATTAATAGCACATTTTTATCCTCTATAATATATATGCATGATTTGATAAAAACACAAAGTTTAATGTTTTTTTATAATAAAATAATTTTTTAGTCTCTTAAGATAATTTAATCTACCACTGATAAATAATAATATAAGGCCGCTTTACAATAACTTTGTATTTTATATAAAACATTTCATATTTTAATTGCCGAAATATTAAAAAATATTAATTGTAATGTCATTTCAAAATTGATTCAACTTAACAATAAATTAATTTGTATTTTTGTGTGTTTTACTTGTGCATCTTAGTTTATAGTGGGGACCAGGACATTAAGGCATGGTAAAAAAACCTTTACCCCCAACCTCCCTGGCCTGTCTGGCCCTGCTATTTAATTATTAATTTTTGTATTTTACAACATCTGGGACCACCTTTAGAGTAAATTATGGAAACCTATTCTATTTTCTAAAATTGAATATCAAAAAAACCAGAAAACTTTTTTTGGTCATTGTTAAAATTACTCCCCACAATAAAATATAATGAAACTTTGGTTTTTAAACAATATTTCTTATTATATAAAAACATTCAAAATGTTTTCTTGAAAATATTTCAAAATATGTTTTTCTAAAATATACCTGGAAAAATAAACAATACCTAAAAAAACACCTAATTTATTTTGTAAATAAATTAATATGTATTATAAAAAAAGTATTTATATTATTCAGATAAAAATAAACAAAAATCAATAAAGTATTATTACTTTTTAAAAATAAAATTTAGAATAATACACTAATATTAAAATACATAATTATAGTAAATTTAGTATTAAAATATGTTACCATTATTCTGATTTAAAACATAAAAATCCCGAATAGAACCATCTTGAACTGGATACCACGGATCAGATGCATACACTTTAACATCTTCAAAACTTCTAGCATCATTATTTTTTTCAGTAAACACAACTTCTCCATTTAGTTTTATAGTATATATATAAGCATTTCCTTCAAGACGCTGTCTTATTTCAACATTTGTCCATTGCTTAAGAGCAATTGGTGCAGTGTCAAAATATCGATTAATATTACCATTGATTGGAGCTGCAATATGAAGACCTCCATTACCACTATGATGAAACCACACTCCTGGCACTCTATCCCCATATCTGGACACATCTGAACCAATAGTAAAGTGAATAACACTTTTCCATCCAACATTAAATGAGTTTGGTTTTACATCAAATGAAACAATGAATTCTTTATCAAGCTTGGGAATAACAGCTAACAAATTTCCTTTTACTAATGGGGTTTCGATATATGAAATTTGCTCTAAAAAAATGCAATATAAAAATAATGCAATATAAAATAGACTATTTCTTGGCAATTGTTTTTAGGCAAATAATGAATCTCTAGAATAAAAAAGTTTTTCTTTTTAATCATAAGTAATTTTTTAAGAAATACCTTTTCTTAAAACATGTGAATTTTGTGAAAGTAATAAATCTAAAGATTAAATTAATATATTTAGAGTCAACAAGAGCCATACAAAAAATATAAACACCATAGTAAAATATAAAAAATCTCAAAACAAAAATTTCAAAACAGAACCAAAATAGAATGAAAAAAAATTAACAAAACTTTTAAAAAAGCATTTTCAAAACACATAAAAATTTTACACTGCTATTATTTTGGCCAGTTCGACAAAAGTCATGAACTAAGGAAGCACATACAGGGAAAAAATACTTACATTCCAGTTAAATATAAATCTAACTATTACAATTGAGAAAAAAAAAGAACTTTTTGTATATTATATTGCATATTATAATGAAATTTTAGCATTCAAAATATTTTGCTTTGTAACAAAATATGTTATTCTATTATTTCATTTTGTTAATAAAAATTTAGTGATTTGCAATGAAAACCACTATTTATAATGTATAGAATATTGAAGTTTTTATAACATAACATATTAACATTTTTATAAAAAGCATTTTTTATTAAAGTTAAACAATCAAAAGAAAAGAATTTGTTACAAGATTTTGTTATAAAGATTACTTTTTTGGGAAACAACATAAGCATTGAACATAACGACATAAGCATTGAACATAACAACATAAGCATTGGAGATAACGACATAAGCATTGAACATAACAACATAAGCGTTGAACATAACAACATAAGTAATTGGCTCCAAGAATGAACCACAAGACTTTAAACAAAGTTTTCACTTAACAAACATGAATTATAATTCAGACAATTTTAATATAACTTTTTTAATATGTCTTTTACAAAGCTCTTTTTTTATGTATCTTTTTTTCACATTCCTATATTCCTTTTTTACACATAAAATCGAGAAATATCTAGAAATTCTAAATTGCTGAGGAGTAATTTCACACCAATCAGGTTTTAGCCTTCCACTCATTAGTGTATTTTATTGGCACCACTACAAAACGCATTGTCCACAAATTTTCCATGATAATAATTCCTTTGCACAGAGTTTGTCATTTTATAAAGCTTGTCATTATCAATACAGGAGATATAGAAACAAAAATTTCAAAATGTCAAATTATCTAAATCAAATTAATTAAATCAGATTAAGATATCATAATGATAACAGGAAAATTGACTGCATGCTGAGTATGAGAAAATGCACAAGGCATCTTACAGCAACTCAAGGAGAAAGAATTGTTAGAATCTATTGCATAAACATTGATGCTTGTGATGCAAGAATTCCTTACGGCATTTGTAAGACATACCAAACAACTATTCACAGGAAAGATGAGGGGAAAGATGCTAAACTGCCTTTTCTTTTGGATTTCTCAACCATCAAAATTTGACATAAAACACAGGGCAAGCCATCCCTGGAGACGCATGTGTTTTTTCATCACATTTGTCCACGCATAAGTTTTTTATTTTAGACAACATGGTCACAGCCATTTAAAAGTTTTATATTAATTTCAATACTTAACAGGCAAAAAAAAGATTCAAAAACAAAGAATGCAAAACTAACAAAATTGAAAATTAAAATAAATTTAATAAAAAAATTAAATTAGAAAAGAAAAGAAAAAAAAAATTAATAACTTACATAATTTGTGTACTGATTTTAATTTTGTTTCTTTTGGGTGGTTATTATTTTTAGCAATGAAATTGGATAAGACAAAACAAAACAAAAAAAAAAGAAAAATGTTTTAAATTGACATAAAAAAGTATGATTTTCCTATTTTTTTTGTTTTTTAAAGAGAGTAAAAACTGCTATCTGTTTATAAAATATATTTGTATAAGTTTAATGCAACATAGTCTCCTGGGAAGGCAGTATCAATTAGCTTGATTTTTTGAAAGCTTAAAGCTAACTGAAAAGAGGAAACCAGAAAAGAGCCTATTGGAAACCAGTAAAAGTTTACAATAGGGGACACAAAAGAGGTGTGCAGACTGCCAGACCCTTTGAGGCAAAGACTTGTTACATCATTGCATACAATCAACTTTAAGAGAAAATCTTAAGCAACTCACTACACAAAATGCTACCACATCTGAGCAAATAGCAACAGATTTGATTGCAAAAAAGAATGCAATGCAGAAAAAACCATCAAATATTTACAATCAAAGAGTAGACAACCTCTACACCAGGTCTATTTAAGTTATTTTAGAACATTAAAGATTTTAGTAATGTTTGGCTGAAAAAACATTTCATTATTATTTTTGGTTTTTGTTTAATTTTTCATAATATTTTGTTAATTTTAATAATTAGTTGTAAGAAAATCAAAAGCTTTTCAGTGAAACAAGAATGTCAACTAAGGACCTGGTTCAAGTCCAGCTTAACACAGGCTTGATGATCCAATTCTAGCATCATCATATTGGTTTTAACTTGATGATCCAATTCTGGCATCATCATGTTGGCTTTAACTTGATGATCCAATTCTGGCATCATCATGTTGGCTTTAACTTGATGATCCAATTCTGTCATCATCAAGTTGGCTTTAACTATCGACCAAGTAGCAAAATCCCAAACTATAGCAGTGTTAGGAAACTAATTCAGGAAATTATTACCATATTATTATTACCATATCATATTATAATATTATTACAGGAAAATATTTAAATAATATTTTAGTAAATTTTCAAGAGAAGTATAAAAATTTCAAGCAATTTCAAATCAAAGTTTAAAGCTAATGCTTTAAACTTTGAACTGAAATTGGCCAATATTCTATTGGGACTTCAGTATATAACAAGTCTGCATCCTTGTAGATGGTGCAACACTGACAAAATGTTTCTCAAACTGTGGATCCTATTGTATAATTGGTTCCCCATTCAAATCTTATTGAAGCCTTTAAATCTTCTGAAAAAGATGTTAAATATTTATAGTTAAATATATAAATATGTTAAATATTTATAGATTTTGGAGAAAAAGATTTTCAATTTCAGAAACTCTTATTTGGCATTGACAAACTGCAGAAAACAAAAAAAGTAGTCCATGCTGTTTTCATTGTTTTCCATTTGAAAAATTGCAACATATGAAATATGTATGTATGTATGTATGTATGTATGTATGTATGTATGTATGTATGTATGTATGTATGTATGTATGTATGTATGTATGTATGTATGTATGTATGTATGTATTTACATACATACATACATACATACATACATACATACATACATACATACATACATACATACATACATACATACATACATACATACATACATACATACATACATACATACATACATACAAAATCATAAAATCATTAAGTATAATATATTTAATAATTTTCAGATTTAATATATTACATTTTCCTTAATTGAAGAGAGTGGGGGGGAGGGAATGTGTTTAATAATTTTTTGAAAACTTTCCCACTCACCCTAAGCTTATTAAGAACCCTCCCCCTCCTCCTTCATTCATCAATTTTTACTTGTTATGAAAAGAAAAATTAAATCTCAAGACTAAAAAAGAAAATTCTGTAAAAATTGGCTTTAAAAATAAGAAAATCATTATTTCAGTTAAACGAAAATCAAAGTTTCAGTGTAAACAGCTTTAAAAATTGTTGTAACTTTCTCACCAAAGTATAAAACTTTTATCAGCTAATGAATCCTATTGAAATTATGAAAAAACAGCTGTTAGCAAAATTTGACCACAAGTCACGCTAGAATTAAGTAGTTTTGTATTAAAGACGTAATTTAATTGCGTCTCTTTTTTACATTACAATATGTCTCAATTGGTTACACTTTTAAAAGTTAAAAAAAAAAATTGATACACAACGTTGTGAATTGATGTCTCAAATTTGAGACAATTAAAATACGTAACAAATATAGATTTTATTTTACATTACATTTTTTTAAAAGTTTTAAAAATATAACCGATTGAGATGTAACATAACGTAATAAAATATCTGTATTTGAGACAGATTTTAAGTGCGTATTTTAAGTTTTCATCGTATTTAGTAATAATATAAAAATATTGTTATCAAATACTTAAAACTTTATAATAATATATTTATATATAAAAATGTGAAGAAAATGCATCTAAAGTGAGTTAAATGTTTTCAGCTTTTAAATTTAAATTTGTACTTTTCATAAAATTAACACACACACACACAGATTTAAAACCTAAATAACATGTTCACAAATGTTCATAGCATGTTCACAGAAGATTAGAGTAGAAACTTTATATATTTCAATAGAAAAACTTAAACATAATACATACCTAATCTATTTTGTAAATAAACTATTTATTGTAAACAAGGTATTTATATTTAGTTATTTTTTATATTAACATTGAATTTTAAACACTTAGCAAATATTAAAAAAAAATAACAATACATAATTATAGTCAATTTTAAAGTAATATTTTAAAGTATATTAAAGTATGTTACCATTATTCTGATTTAAAACATAAAAATCGCGAATAGAACCATCTTGAACTGGATACCATGGATCAGACGCATAGACTTTAACATCTTCAAAACTTCTAGCATCATTATTTTTTTCAGTAAACACAATTTCTCCATTTAGTTTTATAGTATATACATAAGCATTTCCTTCAAGATGCTGTCTTATTTCAACATTTGTCCATTGCTTAAGAGCAATTGGTGCAGTGTCAAAATATCGATTAACATTTCCATTGATTGGAGCTGCAATATGAAGACCTCCATTACCACTATAATGAAACCACACTCCTGGGACTCTATCCCCATACCTTGACACATCTGAACCAATTGTAAAATGAATAACACTTTTCCATCCAACATCAAATGAGTTTGGTTTTACATCAAACGAAACAATGAATTCTTTATCAAGCTTAGGAATAACAGCTATCAAATTTCCTTTCACTAATGGGGTTTCGATATATGAAATTTGCTCTATAAAATATCAAAACACAATACAAAACTATTTCTTAACTGATGATTTTTAAAAAAAATTTTAAAATAAAAAATGAAAATTTATAATATAAAATTATTAAATCATTTATTAAAAAATACCTCTTCTTAGAATTTGTGGATTTTGTGAAGGTAATAAATCTAAATATTAAATCAAATTTTTAATGTTTACAGTAAATAATAGTCAGATTAAAAAGTTTCAAGCCCATAAGCATTTTATGAACCATTTTTTAATATTTTTTTAAATTTTTTGATTTAACCTGTATTTGAGTAAAAAAATAAAAAATTTTAACTAGCTGTCAAATTCTTTAGCTTTTATTAAAAAATGTAATGAATTTAAAGTAAAGATATAGGAAATGATTATGAAACAAGAATTAAAATACTTCGCTTAAGCACACTAGAAAAAAAGACATAAAAGCGGCAACTTAATTTAAATGTACAAACTATTTTAAAAAATAAATATTGTAGAACTAGATTGTAACATTCTTGCATTATATCAACCCAACACAAGGAGCCATGACTTCAAAATCAAAAGAGAAATTGTTAAAAACTGCAATATTTGTCATCAATTCATAACTAATAGAGTCTCATCAATGTAGAACAAACTATAAGATTTATTTTAGATTTGTCATCAAAAGGGAAAGCTTGAACTTATTCATAACTCACATTGATAAATATCTAGAGCTAAAAGATTTGTAACTTATAATTTAACTTATTTACTTAGAATTTCTGTAGAATAACTGCACAATGTATATGCTGTCAAAGTGAAATTAATTACTATTAATTTCACTTGTAGTTTTTGAACTACAACAGCTATTATATATTATATACTTAAAAAAAGGCTCTTAAAAAAATCCTCATGAATTATTAAAGGTGGAAACTGCTGCCTTAACCTTAACTATCTTTACCTAAACTATCTGACACAAACTTTTTATCTCCCCACAACTCTAAATAAGAAAAAAAAATTATCAACAGATTATTAATGAGCTGATTTCGGATGATTTCACTTTTTCGGATGATTTCACTTTTTCGGATGATTTCACTTTTTCGGATCACTTTTTATATTGGGTTTGTGAAAAAATATTAAGCCACTCTTGGTTCTTAATATTGTAATAAAAAGTAATGAACAGAAAGTATAAAAAACTTGATCAATAATATATGCTATAGTCTATGACTAAGAACAGATGCGCTGTGAATGATACATTATATTTATAAATTGATGCCTTATTGTTAAGCAAATAAAACAGTCTGGTGAATACAATCAGTGAAGTAATATATCCTAGCCAAATTCAAATGTTTTATATTTTTAATGAGAATGCAAATACTGTTTTTCTAGATGATCAGCTGAGAGTTTTTGCTTGAGCCTTTTTAGTTGATCACAGTACACCTCTGCATTGATATTTGTATTGATAGGAAGTAAATACGATCATGTAATACCTCTTTAGCCCCACCAAACTGAAAACATATTTTTTGGATGAAGTTCATGGTTTGGGGGCAACATTAGCTTTCAAATAGGGTTGAGTCTTTAGTACTTTTTGATGTGATTAACATAGAGTACCCACTTCTCATCATATGCAATGCCACTGATTTTGATAATACTAGAGTCAATTTATGAGGAGCCTAAACACTAAGTTTTGAGCAATAACCAAGCTAATTCAGATTATGATAAGTAAAAAATATTGTTATGGCAATACCTAAGATTACTAATTAAGCAGACTACAGTTTGATGTTGATTAGTTCATTTTATTGGTTTGAGCAGTTTCTCTAGCAGAACAGCCTGTTCAATATTCATTTAATAGACTAATATGCTATCTAGATTTTGCATTTTTTAAATACTCAAAACTGTTAAACAAAAATTGTAAATAATAAAAATTTATTTGCACACTCCCAATACTAATATATATACATATTAATATGTTTATAAATATGTTTAAATATATTTTAAACATAACAAAAAAAGGATTTTCAAAATAATTTGCACTCATTCTGATTAATAACTCCACTTTCAATCAACTAAAGCAAACCTATCATCAGCACACCAATCAAAGTAAACCTATCATCAGTACACCAATCCAAACAAACCTATTATCAGCACACCAATCAAAGTAAACCTATCATCAATACATCAACCCAAGCAAACCTATAATCAGACTAACAATAAAAAATAGACTATTTCAATAAATGATAAAAAGTAAAATTTTTCTTTTATTATAAAAATATTTAAAATTTATTGTAGACAATAATTAAATAGCTTAATAATTTAAAAAATTTTGTAAGCTTCCACTTATCTACACTCAGCGAAATTTCCATAGTTCCACTTACAATTTGTACATATAAATAATTTCACAAAGTATTTGCATTTTTTTTTTTTTTGTTTATTACAGGAATTATTAGGAATAAATCAGAAAATAATATTTTAATCGAAAATAATTATTAATTTATTTTGTAAAACTTAAAAGTTGGAAATATTTTGAAAAAACAGGCAAATTTTCTATAGTTCTATCAAGGGTAATCCTTTATAATTTTCATTCTAAATAATAATTTTTTAATTAATTTACTTTTTAATAATGTGTGCTACCAAATTTTACACTAATTAATTCAAAGATTCAGTTTTTCATACTTTTTATAAGATTTCACAAACAAACCTTTGAAATAACTTTCCATGCTTGTTGGATAGATGTTTTGAATTCTTGTATTGTATTATACTGTCAAGAATTTCTATATATAGTTCGCGCCAATATTTCCTATAAATTTTCAATAGGGTTCAAGTCAGGTGAACATAATAGCCAATCCAAAACATTTATATTTTTTCCTGGAACTTTTTTACAATTCGTGCCGTGTAAATCACCGCATTATCTTGTTGGAAAATCCCGTTCTCAGTGATAAACCTTCACTAAACTCTATTAAAACATCTTCTAAAAGGTCTACGTAATTTCGTACATTCATTTTTGTTATAATAAAATATATTGGAATTATGCCGTGGAAATAAATTGTGCCCCACACCATAACTATCCCTCCTCCGAAGTTAAGAGACATGGCTATGCCATCTTTTTTTTTCAAATCATGCCAATAATACTTAAAACCATCAAGCCCACCTAAGTTAAACTTTTTTTTGTAAGAAAAAATAATAATTTCCCATTCTGTATCCCATGTCATGTGGTCCTTTGCAAACTTAAATCTTGCATTTTTATGTTTTTTTGTTAATGGTGGTTTTGTGATCATTCTTTTCCATTTTAATCGTCCTGATTTTGACAAAATTTGATGATTTGGTGTCACAGGTAATTCAAGTTTAGTTCTTGCTGTTCATACTCTGGATGACGCCAAAACCAAAAATGGAAGAATTTTACCTTTTGGTTGTTTTTTTATTTCAGCCCTTAAAGGGCTGAAATAAAAAAACAACCAAAAGGTAAAATTTTTGTTGTAATTTTTACCTAAATTTATAAAATTGTTCACTGCATGATGAAATTTTTTGATTTTCTTTGCAATTTGTCGATTGGACAAACCCAAAACTTTGTAAGCAACAATTTTTGCTTTTTCTTCCTCATTTAACACTTTTTTGAGTGGCATTGTAAGAATTAAATAACAAATCTTAATTAAAAATACACAAAACTTTCATATAAAACAAACAAATTTAAAAATCTTACTCAAACTTCAATTAACTCTTATTAAGTTTTCAAAACAAACTAACAGAACTATGGAAATTTCGCCTGCATATATACCAATTTTAAAAACATTCTAGAAAATTTAGTTTCAATTGTTTTAGAAACACATAAAATTGTCATAAACGCATTTGTTTGCAATAGGTCTAATAAAAAAAAATTTTTGTGATTAATTTTATAAATGCATTCCGCATAAAATCTGCAATAAATTCATGGAACTATAGAAATTTTGCTGAGTGTATATATGATATATTTAAAAAACCAAAAAAAATATTTTTTGATTGAAAAAATATTTGTATACAAAGTTTTTATAAAAACTTACCATTCGCTGCATTAATGAAATAAAAATCTTTAATAGAACCATCTTGAACTGGATACCATGGATCGGATGCATAGACTTTAACATCTTCAAAACTTTTAGGTTGTGTATTTTCTTCAGCAAAAACACTTTCGCCGTTTATTTTGATAATGTAAATATACACACTTTCTTCAAGTTTCTGACTAATTTCAACATTTGTCCATTCATTTAAGGCAAGTGGTTTTGTATCAAAATACCTATTAGCATTGCCGTTAATTGGAGCAGCAATATGAAGACCTCCATTGCCATTTTGATGGAACCACACTCCTGGAACTCTATCACCATAATTTCCTATGTTTGAACCAATAGTAAAATGGATAACATTTCTCCATTCAGCAGCAAAAGAATTTGGTTTCACGTCGAAAGAAACACTGAACTCTTTACCAAGCTTTGGAACAACTGCTAATAATTTCCCTTTATTTAGAGGGGTTTCTTCATCATTAATAATCTGATCTAAAATTTAAATTAAAAGCAAAATATTAAAGCATAATATTATTTTTACATAAACCATCAACTTAATATATAACATATAGTATATATAATGTAGTATAACATAAGATTAACTTATATTTATATTAATATAATATTAATTTCATTCTTGTTTATTTTTTATTTCAAACAAATGTCTTAATTAACCTGAGTTTCCATTAAAGATAAGAATATCTTTGATGAAACCATCTTGAGCATTATACCATGGATCAGATGCATAAACTTTAACGTTCTTTAATTCTATTGGTTTTTTATTTTCTACAGTGTGAATATTTTTTCCATTAACATCTACACTAAAATAAAATATATCTTTAATCTGGTACTGGTGTATTTTTACAGATGACCATATATTCAAAGGAAAGACATCAGTAGGAAAGTATGCATTATTATTTTCATTTAATGCTGTAAAAACAGCTAATCTTCCAGAGCCCCCCTCATGAAACCAAACTGCAGGATTTCTTTCACCATATTTTCCATAGTTTTGATCGGTAGTTAAATGGATAACACTTCGCCATTCTTTAGAATATGTAACAGGCTTTATCTTAAAAGATACTGTATATACTTTTTTTAACAGAGACATTGTTCCAATCAATTGTCCTTGTTCCAACTTCATTTCTTTTGGTTTACTAATCAAACCAACTAATTAAAAAATACATATATAAAATGAATCTAATACAATTGTTGATGCATATAAACAAATAACTTAAAAATTATGAAATATAAAATAAATAAAAATGTCTACAGATATTTTTATATTTAGGAAAGAGTTTTAATAAGCTTAAAACTTATCTAAAAAAATAACATTAAATACTAAAAATGTAAAAATTGAACAAAATAAATTGTTGCTACTAAAATTGTACAATAAACCTTTAGTTAAAATTTTTATCTTAACATTGATTTAAAATCTTAGGAAACTAGAAAAATATTAGCACCCTCTTTAACACCCTCTCACACTTATTACGCTCCTTAATTTTCTTTGTATATTATTTCTAATAACTAGTAAAAGGAAACTCTAGCTATAAAAATATATAAATAAACATTAAAACACTATTATTGTAATTTTTTAACAAACCAAGAAGTTTTAATTATAGTTCATAATTTAAAATAAGGGTAGCTAAAATTTTTAAAGCTATTTAGAATTATTTTGAATATATATAATTAAATAAAAAACCTGAAGGCCACATAATAGCATCATTGGATAAAGGTGTATCTAAAAACAAGAAATCTATTTTTAGTTTGTTTTATGATCTATTTATGCATTTTATAATATACAAATATAAAATGTAAAATAAAAATATCAGTAATTTTACTCATGTTTCCATTGACAACAACTAAGTTCTTTATTGAACCATCTTGTACTGGATACCATGGATCAGAACAAAAAACTTTTACATTTTTAAAACTCTTAGGTTGAAGGTTATTTTCTGAAAAAACTTCAACATTATTTAACATAATTTTGTAAATGTATGAGTTTGCTTGAAGTTGTTGGCTTACTTCAATGTGTGTCCATTGGTTCAATGGAATTGGGTTTGTGTCAAAATACCGATTCAAATTACCATTAATTGGAGCTGCAATATGAAGACCTCCATTTCCACTATGATGAAACCACACACCTGGAACTCTATCTCCATAAGTTGTAATGTCAGAACCAATTGTAAAATGAATAACATTTCTCCATCCAACAGCAAATGAGTTTGGTTTCACATCAAAAGAAACCTTAAATTGATTTTCAAGGACTGGTAAAACAGCCAATAACTTTCCTGCTTCTAATTTTGTTTCAATATCTTTAACTAATGTACCTAATTTTATATTATACAAAGATATAAATGAAACTAAAAAAACATAATTTATTAAATTTTGCCTAAAATAAAATCTTAAATTTAACCTGGATTTCCATTGGTTATTTTAAGATTTCTGATAAATCCAGGTTGCACATCATACCAGGGATCTGAAACATACACTTTAACATTTAAAAAATCTCTTGCATCGTTATTTTCCTCTTTAAATATTTTTTGCCCATTATGCTCAATTGTGTACATGTATCTTCCTTCAATGAATTCTTGTGATATCTTAAATGTGGACCATTTTGCAAGTTCGACAGCAATAGTATCTTTGCAAAGATTTCGATTGCCACTTACTGCAGAACATATGTGCAAATTTCCTGCTCCGCTTTGATGAAACCACACTCCTGGGTTTCGATCTCCATAATTCAAAATATTCTCTCCAATAGTCAAATGGATGACACTTTTCCAACCACTTTGAAAAGCTGTTGGTTTTACTTCAAATGAAACTGAGTATTCTTTATTAAGTCTTTCGAAGGTTGCAACCAAGTTTCCTTTTGAAATTGGAATCTCTTTTTCCATTAAGAAGGCTTCTAGAATACAAATTAAGAAATTTATTTATAGTTTTACATATTTTTCCTTTTTGACAAACAGTAAAAATTAAAAAACAGTTCCATATATTTAAAATAAAGAATTTCTTGCAATTTAAAAACAAACAAAAATTCAATAAAAACATTTTCAGAATGGTTGCTTTTTATTTATTTATATAGTTAGTTTAAATGCTTTTTAAAAAAACTTACCATTGTGGATCTACTTTGGTCTAATATAAAAACCTAATTAGATATCAAATGGGTTTTTTAGATTTTGTTGTTGGAAATTATATTTTTTAAATAAATGCTGTCATTTTTCAAAAATTTAAATTTCACACAGGTACATGAAAACAAACTTAAAACAGCTAGCCATCATATAACTTCTAATAAATTGAAATCTTACACAAAATTCACAAACCATTAAAGCAAATATATTTTTGAATTTATTTAAGGACAACAATTTATATAACTTGAATTAATATAAAGATAACAATTGCATTTGAATATAAACATTTTTTTTAAACAAAAGAATAGTGATTACCATTAAGCTTCACTAGCTGGTTTTCAGAAGTAAAGTCTAAAAAAAGTAATAAGCATTAGTAACTGTAAACTTATTATATAAAATATTAACATAAAAGAATTGATATGACTTTATATTTTCTAAAATACATATATATAAAGTCATTAAAAACAATATTTTCAAAATTTCTTTGTAATTTTACAGCAAATATTTATAGAAAACCTTTCCAGAAAATTTCTGAAAAGAATGAGACCTGTTGACATCATTTTATTAAATTATTTACATTATAAAAAAAAAGTAATAGTGCTTAAATTAAATTTAAATTGTATGTTTGCAAAAATGTAAACAAAACAAAAACATCTTTTTGATCTCTCAAATCTTTTTTTGCTGCAAATATTTTATTTTTAAAAAAAGTAAAAATTAAAAAAAAAAAAAAATTAAAACGAACCTTTGCATTTGGCTAAGTTACACTTAACAGCTTCAGACAATTCCCCTGAGCATCCTTTTCCGGATCCTTGGGGAACTGGATTAGTGCAAGTTCGCTCTCTTTCTTTAATTCCATCTCCACATGTAGCAGAACACTCTGAAAACTCACTCCATTCTGATAAACCTCCGTCAATAGCTTCAAAAATAGTTTGATTATTTAAATTTTTTATTTAAATTTAAACTTGATCAAGAAAAAATTACATTAAAGTAACTTTTGTTACAATTTTTTTTTTTTTAATAAAGAAAAATTGTTTGTAAACAAACTATAAATAAGAAAGAAATATTTTACCAACGTCTGTGCTTTGAGATGAACTACTGACTTTATAGAGGTAAACAGCATTTGTTTTTTCTTCAGAACCACCAACACATTCTTCAGGATGCTTATCATCACATTCTAAAAAGTTTGCATTGAAGCATTTGGAAGATCTTTGTGATTGTTTACCAATATCATTTATAACATTTAATTTTTTGCTTGACCAGCATTCAGCCCAATGAATAATATAAAAGAAATCATATCCTTCTTCTTTAGATTTTTTTGAGCATCTACATGCAATACTAGATAAAAAAAACAACAAATAAAAATAGATAAACAACAAATAAAAACTCAGATACTTAACAAGATTGATTAAATATAGCAGTCAAAATCAAGTTGATGTAGTTTTAAATATGTTTATTTATTTATTTATGCTCCTTAAGATTCATTGCCATGTTGAATCTATTATGAGCCCATGCTAGTAACAGTTTCATAATAGTCATAGAGATCAGAGTTTCATAATAACCATATGTTTATCAAGCTTGTCCTTGAAGATATTTACACTTTTTGCGGAAATGATTTCTTGTGGTAGTTTATTCCACCATTTTGCAACTCTATTTGTAAAAAAATTTTCACTTGGTCTGTTTCTTTTTATTAGCTCAATATCTAGACGTCCTTTATGTCCTCTAATGTTTGAAGCTGGACCATTTGCTGAAATTGAAATTGCTGTTTTTGATTGTTGATACCAACACACTTTGTCCAAATTATGAAATATTTTATAATATTGAATTAAATCATATCTTATTCCCCTGATTTTTAAAAAAGTCAGTTGGAGTTTTTTTAACCTTTCTTCATAGGCTAGGTGTCTTAACTCTGGAATCAACTTTGTTGCTCTTAGTTAAACAATTTCTAATTCATGTATGTCATTTTTATTATAAGGGTTCCATATTGGTGGTGCATATTCAAGAATAGGTCTTACAAAAGTGCAATACAAAATCTTCATTGTGTTTGTCTTTGTAAGTAAATGATTTGCTTAGTAGACCTAATCGACTATTTGCTTTATTTACAACCATATTTACATGTTGATTCCACTTCATAGTATTTGAAATTAACAATTCAATGTCTTTTTCATTAGTTGTTAAATCTAATTTTGAATCTTTTATAAAATATTTAAAATTCTTATTATGTTTTCCAAAATGCATGATTTTACATTTTTTGATGTTGAAATTTATCATCCATTTGTCAGACCATTCAGTTAGATTATTAATATCGCCTTGCAAGCTTTTTGAGTCTACCTGGTTGTTAACTACAGCAATAGTTTTGTTATCATCTGCATTTATTTTAGATGGTAAATCATTAATATATAACAAGAACAATAATGGTCCAAGCACAAAACCCTGTGGAACACCGCTTAGCATCTCTAACCAATCTGATTTTGTATCACCAATTACAACGCGTTGTTTTCTATTTGATAAATATGTTTCTATCCAATTTCTTTTTCTAATCCATAACCACATAATTTTGATATTAATCTCTTATGAGGCACTCTATCAAATGCTTTTTGAAAATCAGTATATAAAATGTCTATTGAATTGCCTATCATTAGTTGGTATGTTAAAAAATCTAAGGATTCTAATCAGTTTGTTATACAATTTTTACCCTTTAAGAAACCATGTTGTTGTTTACAGAAAAGATTATTTGATTCTAAGTAGTTTTTTAAGTCATCACTTATAATTTTTTCTAGTACTTTGCAAGGTATGGATGCCAAAGATACTGGTCGATAATTTATTGCCTGCATTTTTAAATATGGGACTCACATTTGCCATTTTCCAGAGATCAGGAATATCACTATTTGTTAGACTTAGTTGATAGATAATTGAAAGTGGTATTGAAAAACTTTCAGAGCAGACTTTTAACACATAGGGCTTTACTTCGTCATACCCACTAGACTTGTTAATGTCTAATTTTGACAAATATGATTTCACAAGTGCTTGATCAACGACTATCTTTCCGAACCTGCTATTTGTTTGTACTTCAAATTTACAATCATTTATATTTTCTTCTTTTATGTAGACAGAATGAAAATACTTGTTAAAAATATCAACAATACTATGTTTGTCATACATTGTTGAACCAATATTATCATTAAGTGCTCTTATATGATTTTTTACTTTCTGCTTTTTTTTAATATATGAATATAGTAATTTAGGTTCATTTTTAACCTGATTTACCAAGTTTCTTTCGTAATTTTTAACAGAGTTTTTTTTTTTTTTTTTTTTTAATGTTTCTTTTCATTTTATTATATATTTTTTTTGAGCCAGCTATAGACCAGTTCATTTTTTTATTTGTTGTTCAGTAATTATTTTTGTACTTGATTTCTTTTCTCAAGCTATTTGACATCCAAACTTCACTTGCTTTATTTCTTAGTTTTACAATAGGTATATAATTTTTGCATGATTGATTATAATGATATAAAAAATTATCATAACATTTGTCAATGCATTTATTTTGAAATTCGTCAGCCCAATTTATGCTTTTTATATAAACATTAATTTTTTCATAGTTTCTTCTACGATATGCAAATTTTTTAGTTGATGAAGAGAAGTCATCTATTCGATCTTTCATTTTATAAAACCATTTCAGAATATGATGTCCTTTACTACTCAAACCAAGTGGTGGCAAATGGGATAAACCAAAAATATGGTTACTATCATCTACAATTACTATCAAGTATATTTGTTAATTCGTTTTGGTTTCTTTGAGATGTTGCTTTAGTAACACATTGTTCGAAAAAACAGTCATTTAAACATGCTACAAAATCTTCAGCTTGTTGGCTATGTGATTCTACAAAACTGTCTTTCCACTTTAAAGTGTTGTAGTTAAAGTCACCTGTTATTATTATACTAGTGAATTGTTTTTTATCTTGTGCTCTTTTTAGCTGCTATAATAGAATTTATAATATTTTTATTGGTGACACAGGATCAGTCATGTAATATATTTTAAAGAACAGCAACTTGATACATATGTAATAAAATTAGGTTTTTGTTAGAAAATCAAAATATTATCTCCGTTTTCCTATGTTTCTACATATTCCTATATATAAGCAAAACTAGACCTATTTTTTATAACTGACTGTTTGCTTAAAGTTTTTGTAATATTGTTACATTTTTTTTATTAAAAAAAGAAACTTAATTGATTTTTTAAGTGTTACAGTTCAGAGAAAAATGATAATATCTTCAAAAATAAAATACTTTTATGAAATACATAGTTAATATGACTAAACATATGGTAAAAAAATCTGTAACCATTTTTTAATTGAATTACTCAATAAATTTGAATTTTCAAGTCATGAAAATATTTTAATAAAGGGTTTACTACTGGGTTTACTCAGTGTTTTGGGCTACTAAGGATGTGCTCTCTTGAGTAATTACAACAAGTAATCAATTTGTTATTTCTCAGAACCTAAAGATAACACTAAATATATGAGATATATTAAGGATTTCAATTAAACTTGATATCGAGTGAATTGATCAAAATGTTTATTATTAAATTAGTTTGAAGTATTTTGAAGTCTTAACAAGTTTGAAGTCTTAACAAACTTAAGACTTCAAACTTGTTAAGACTTCGAATACTTAATATTAAATTAGTTTGAAGTACTTTGAACTTAATATCGAGTGAATTGATCAAAATGTTTATTATATAATAAACATTTTGATCAATTCGCTCAATATTAAGTTAAATTGAAATCCTCTGTTGACCTTTTTTTTTTCAAAGAAACGATTCTTTTCTTAAAAATAATTTTTTTAAATTATTTTAATTTAATTTTAATTTTATTTTATTTTATTTAAATTTTTTAAAAAAATTTTTTTTTAATTATTAGACTGTAATAATTTTAAAAAATTATTCGTAAAATATTATTTTACAAAATAAAATAACATTTGCAAATAATTTAAGGAAAAAACACTTTAAATATATATATATATTTTTTTTTTACATTTATTTTTTTGTATTATGCTTTATTATTTTTTAATTTTATTTTTAGATTATTTATTTTATAAAAACTTAATATAAAATATTTCTCGTAGAAAAGCGCACATGGATTCCATGTCATGGAAACCTTATTGTATTCAGGAATGGCAACGAGCAATCTGATTCGCTATTTTTGAACGGTATGCGTACGCGCTTATTATGAAAAAGTCGAATCAATCAAATAATCAATCCAGTGCCGGATCAAGGGGGGGGTTCTAAAACCCCAGGCCCCGCAAATATAGAAGCCCCAAAAAATTTTAGAGGAACTTTTTTTTTTTAGTCATTTTAGGCTCTGGACCATAAAAAGGCCTCCAAAAAAAAAAATATTCCTGCGCCGAAGTCTTAATCCGCCACTGAATCAATCAATCAATATAATCTGAATTACTTGATTTTATAATTCAAAGATGTTTACAAATAGTATAATTACTAATAATGCGTAAACACCTAATAATAATGATGTTAATAATAAATAATAACAACTCTAAAAATCATAACGTTAACAATAATATTACCATTAATAATAACTATATTAATAAAAATGGTAATAGTAACAATAAAAATAATGGTATTATTAAAAATAATGATATTATTAATAAATAATGATATTAATAAAAATAAAGGTAATAACAATAGTAACAATGATAATAATAACAAGAGTATATTTAAATATATATATCCTTATACGCGCACACATACATAAATACATACATACATACATACATACATACATACATACATACATACATACATACATACATACATACATACATACATACATACATACATACATACATACATACATACATACATACATACATATGTCGCACATACGGTTATATCTATGTACAAAAACACACGTACATCCATACTCATACACACATACAAATATATGTATATATATATATATATATATATATATATATATATATATATATATATATATATATATATATATATATATATATACACACATACACATATACACGTATACTTATGCACATACATACATAAACATACACACATACCTATACACACATACATACACATATACACACACATTAATACACATACGCATACATATATCCACACATTCAATTATTGTACAAGGACGACAAAAAAGCGGTACATTAATGTAAGGGTTCTTAAAAAAAAAGTATAAAATATAAACAAATATCAAAATACGTATAGCATAATAAAAATGAAGTAATATAAAAGCTACATAAAAATTTAAATGCCTATAGCAAAATCATCAACTTTTCAATTGTTAAAATTACAATACAAATACTTTTTGTTCAAAACTTTACAACTTAAAACATTTAAAATTAAAGATAGCTTTTTTCTTTTCTTTCGTTTTATTTTTTCTACCTCTCTTTCTTATCGTTCCCTCGTTGTGTTTATCTTAAATGGGAGTTAGTAAACCTATTTGATAATTAATTAGTATTATTGGCTTATTTTTTAAAGCCTATCTATATATAGGATGACCTATAGATTTAGCTAAGATCTATTATAGATCTAAGTCTATTTTGAAGTATATATAGACCTTTAGTTAGATCTAGATAGACTTAGCTAGATCTAGCTAAGTCTATTCTGAAAAAACTGAAAAGGCAATAATAATTAACTAATTTTTTTCCTTTTCACTATGTGACATTTTTATAACTTTTTTTTAGTTTTACACACATACTTTCATGATAACAAAAAGTTTTTAAATATTTGTTTTTATAAGACAGGTAGCTAAATGGACTGATCTTCTACAAAGACGTTATTTTAATATTTCTATAATTTTTCTTATCAACAAAGAGATTTACATTGGTAAGCATATTGTTAGATATTTCTCAAAATCGCACTTGCGTTTTGTGTTGACGCATATGAAAAAAAACTGTTATTTAAATCAAATAGATTTATTAATATCTCAATATAATATAAACTTGAAATTTTGTTGTGCATTATGATCAGTTGTCAGATTGTTTACAGTATGTATGGTTACACGGGGTCAGTTTTCCGGTCTGCGGTATTAATGTATGCAAATATGCGCATAATAATGTATGCAAAGTGTTAAACAAAACTCGAAAACTGCTCCTAATCGCTGAAAATGCATGTTATCTGAAATTGATAATATCCTCTTAATAAAAAATCTTTCAAATGCAAAATGAAAAGTTTGAGCAGAAAGAGTCTTAAAACTATATGGACGTCACTTAAAAAAATGTCTTTAACTTTTAAACCTTTATAAAACGACAAGAATAATATAAGCACTTGAGCTTTCAGAAAAAAGAATTTTTTGGGTTTGTTTTTATTTTTGCTTTAAAGAAACTATGAAGTAAAATTATGAAAAACATCAAGTATAAAAAAAAAGATTTTACGCAAAATCTCAAAACCTTAATGATCATCATAATGTCACTGCAAATTCTAATTCAATTGTCTACTTAAGTAGACAAACGACTTTCAAAATGAAAACTATTTGTTTAAACGACTAAAAGACTTTCAAAATGAAAACTATAAAAAAGATTTATATACACTCACAAGATTTTTTAAAAAAAAAGTTGCACTTTAGTTTCTTTTGAAGTTTTTGCAAAGATTTTAAAATTAAATTGCTATCCAGTATACTTAAAAAAAATAATAACACTATTCCCTCCAGAAAGTTTTGCTTTAAAATTTTATAAAATTATAAAATTAGCTTATTCCCAGCCGGCACAACTCACAAAATAGTTACGCTTGGTTTCTGTTGCGTTTTTAAAACCTTCTAAAACAAAAAAAATAACCCATGTCAAAAATGGTTTTTATTCCGTAAAATTAACTATTACTATTTACCATAAATACCAGTTAAAATATTATTGGTTTCACCGTTATGGAAACCTAGTGTTATATTATTATAACTTTCCGTAAGGAATGCGAGCAACATTTAAATTTGATTTTAAAACCTCAAAAAACACGTGTTAAACTTAAGTAAAACTGCCCGTAATATACACGTGTTTTTGGTTTACGCCTGGAATCGTGGCAAACACGTGTCTATACAGGTTTTAATTCCGAAAAAAAAAATGTGCCGGTAGGGTTATTGTTTAAAAATAGTATTTTAAGTTCAACAGAAATGTTAAAAAAATCTTGATGTATACAGCTTCTGTTAGTACAGCATTGAATAAACAATCGTTTACTTAATTAAAATTTATTTAAGCATTTTCTTCAGATCGCTTTAAAAAAATTATGCTAACTAGTTACAGCAAGCATATTTTAAGCTTACATAAATAAAAGATAATCAATTATAAAAAAAGAAAGGAAATAATTAAGTATAAAAATTATGTAGTTTTCAATGATTTTTTTTCCGGCAAATATAAGGACAACACTCCTCTCTCTTTCGTCTTCCTCCATCTCCATCTCTCTCCTTTCTTTCACACACATACACACACACGCGCGCGCGCTGTTACACGCAGATATTACAAAACATTTCTGTTCTGCTAAAAAAATACATAACAATTCAAGTCAGGACATGAAAAAGTTCATGAGTAAAATATTTTCAAATCTTATAAATATATCCTAAATATATTTTAATTTTAATATTTAAAATAACTTATAATAATAATTTCACAAGATTTTGATTTATTAAACTTGATTAATAAAAAATGAAATAGTTTTCCCGTTTCAAAAAAAATCCTAGTTTACCTGTGTATCGACTCTTTCATTTTGTCCCAATCCAGTTCAAAACCTTGGTACGATTCACTTTGATCATCTTTATCGGTGATTAACAAACTATGCGTTGTTGGATCATGAAACTCTTTGAAGCATCCCATTTTGTAGTAGTCGCGTTCGCAAGATACATGGCTCTTTATTTCAGCTAAAATAGAAAAAACATTTATCTTTCATAAAACTACATTGATATCTTGCGTAGTCTTTTGAGAAACGTTTTGCATTGGTGTTTGAGCTGAAAGCTAATTGAGCTAGTAGAATTAAAGCGAATTCTTCGCATCGAATGACAAAACAAAATCTTAAAAGAAGGAAAAAATCGGAATTAATTTTCATATTTATATTTATCTATTTGCTATAGAAATATTTTTTTTAATTTTCATATTTAAATTAATTTTCATATTTATATTTATCTATTTGCTATAGAAATATATTTTTTAATTTTCATATTTAAATTAATTTTCATATTTATATTTATCTATTTGCTATAGAAATATTTTTTTTAATTTTCATATTTATATTTATTTTCATAAATATAAATATGAAAATTAATTTCCTCACCTTATGAACTACATAACAACAAAAAAAAAAGTACAAAGCATAAGTTTAAGGAAAAGCTGGGTACCAGTTTAAAAAATAGATAATAATCTATTGTAAAAGTATGCAAACATTAGATGATAAGGCTGGGAAATTTTTCTTATCAAAGGCAAGTGAATTATTTTTAAAATAGTCACTTCTTATCACGTATAAATGAAACGATGTACAATAAAAGCTTAACAAATAGTCCGCAAATAATAATAAAATGTCCGCAACGTTAAAAATTATATCGAACCCAAAACATATAGTGTTAAGACGAGAGAGTGCAGCTTTAAACACTTTTCTCAGTAAATATTCTTGATCAACGTCATCCCGTGATTTATCCTTGTTTTAACACTTTAAAGTTTATTTTATTTGATACAGCGTGAATGTTGTAGAGAGTTTTTTTATTATTTTACGAGAGACTTTTGTGACAAAAGTATTCTGCAACAGAATGGAGTGTCATGCTGTAACAGAATGGAGTGTCATTTTGAAAATAAAAATGAAATATTTGAATAAAAAAGAACTAATAAAAATTATAAATCAAAATGAAAAAAATATTATAAAAAATTTATTTATAAAAAATAAAAGATGAAATAAAAGGTTTTTAATTTTTAAGGTTTTTAATTAAGGAACCCTTAGTTGGATATGCGGAAATATTTTTTGACTGATCAAAACATTCTATAGTATTTCGCAACTTTTTTTTTTTCTTACTTTGCTTTATTTTTCGTTTTTACGAATTTGTCTTTTATTTATTAATTAAATTTTTTTATCATTTATTTCAAATTACTTCCAAATTTTACGAAGCCCTGGGTCATCTTCGAGTATTTCATTGGAGTATTTTGATTACATTTTTTTTTTAATTTACGTATACTTCTTGTAATATTATGAGATGGGAGTCAATAAGGAAACTAGCAGAATGACGTGATAAACTACAATACAAAAAAATACTTGCACAAAAAGTCTAATACAATTAAAAAAAAAAAAAAAATCGATACAATTATAAACCGATTCACTTATTTAATAATAAATGATAAAATTATTAACACAACATTCTCCAAGCATTATTCTTAAAAGTTGTATAAAGTATACAAGGCCGGCGCGACGGGGGTGTGTGACACCCTCAACGCCATCAATTCATTTAGCCGGCAAATTTCAACAAGTTAAACTCACAGAGTCAGTCGGCACGTGACACCTACTCGCGCCGACTCTGAAAGTATATCTTATAAAAAAACATTCATAAAACGTGTTTTCCTAATGAATTAAAAACCAAAAACAAAAAAAACAAAAAAAAAACAGACACCTTTTTAGTAAATATTTTAAGCTAAATCAAAAAATTTATAGTAGATTCAAGGAGATAAATGTATAAATTTGAAAAAAAATATATTTTAAATGACGTATTATATTATATTATAAGTTTAACTTGTTATAAATTATATATATATATATATATATATATATATATATATATATATATATATATATATATATATATATATATATATATATATATATTATATATATATATATATATATATATATATATATATATATATATATATATATATATATCAGAAAATAAGGAAATACAACTATTTTGGCCGTTTAAAAAAAATCTTGCTTTTAAAGCATTTTATACTATTATTTTTTATTTACTTACTTATGTACAGGGCTTGGGTCATATTTTTGACTTTTGGGACTTAGTTGAGCTTTCAAGTTGCATTTAGTAAAACTTTAGAGAAATAACTTAACAAAAAAATATCTGAAAAATCAAAAGATAATACTTTTGAGAAATATTTTTAAAAATATAAAATATAAAAAAAAAAGATTAAAGATAATGCTTTTGAGAAGAAAAAAAAAAATTTTAATTTTAAGTTTTTATTAAAAAGTATCATTTTTAAAGAGTTGGGACTTTTCTCCTTAAAAATGATGTGAATTTTTTATAGAATTAAAAAAATGCTTATATACAATCTGTTTTTTATGATAATATTTTTTCATAATATTGTTTTTTTTATCGATATTTTTAAATTTAAATCTGCTCATAGATGGCATAAATATAAACTTTAAAAATAAAAATATTTTCTAAAATCGAAATTATTTTTCCCTCAACTCCTTTCTTCCCTTTGTCAACTATTTTCAAATTTTTCAGCTTTCCTTTCTCTTATTTTCTTAAATTTTTCAGCACTTCCTCTGCTCCTTGTTCTACTACTGATGTTATTTATTGATAGCCCCAAAGCTGCTATATCCAAAAATGATTATAATTTTTAACATCTTTAGTATATTCTTCATTAAAATTATTTATATTTTTTTAGTTAAAGTTTATTGGGTAAGGGGCTTTCCATTAATTATGTCAACAAAATAGGGGGGGGGGGAGGAGAAATCTAAAATTCTTTGACAAATACTAACATGGGGGAGGAGAAGTTCAAGAAACGTTGACGTTAACAGTTTTACTTTTTTAATAATCTTAAATAAAAAATTTTTAAAAAAGTTTTTTTTTTTCCATTTTAACTTTTTTAAGCGTCCATCTGATAAAATATCATTAGCGGTTTAAATAATGTTCTGTTAATGTTATAATATTAATGATCTTCTCATAGTTAATAAAAAAATTATTAAAATCTATTTAAAAATTAAAATTAACAAACCTTTCGCAGACAATGCCAGCAATGACGTAATTGCAAAAAGCAACAGCGCCTAAAATATTCAATAAAATTTTTAAAAGCATGAAATTATAATTTCATTTTGTGGTACTTATTGCATTTATATATTTATGACATTTTTAATAATAAAACAGGGTTGTAGAAAATGCTGTACAATGATGTATTTTAGAGAAGGGAGGGGGTGCAACATTTTTGGATGTTTAAGCTAACTTTCAGACAGAAGCTAAATCAATAAGTTTATATGTTATACTTTTTTATACTTTATTATATAGTTATACTTTTATTTTGCTATGCAAAAAATTGCGATAATTAAAGCAAGGGAACAAAAAAGTTCTTATATTTTTGCGACACCTGCAGCAGACGGGAGAGCAAAATGTTAATTTTTTTTTTTTTTACTATTCTTAATACTTAACTAAATTTATATTCATCGATAAATTTTAAAGTTTATACAATAATCTCTTCGAGTTTAAAAATTATTATCATATTAAGTTTGAACCCCCTCATTTTGAAGGAGTCACACATTTTTTAAAGCTATATTTTTTGAAAGCTAAAAGATTAGTTTATAAAATTTAAAACTTATTGATGAATATAAATTTAGTTAAGAGTATTAAAAAAATATTTTATCTATTTATTGCTCTCACGTTTCGGGCCGTTGTAGCTATAATTTTAAGACTTTTTTGTTCCCAGGCTCCAATTATTGTATATTTTAGCTTTATCTTTATTTGAAATAAGTATAAAAATATAAATGTTTTGAGTTTCAAACATCAAAAGGCGCTGCATTTTCCCCTGTATATATATATATATATATATATATATATATATATATATATATATATATATATATATATATATATATATATATATATATATATATATATATATATATATATATATATATATATATATATATATATATATGTATGCACATATGTAAAAATTGTAATAGAAAGTTTTTGCTTAATTTTTGTACAAAATGCTTTGCAACCAATTGGTTTGCATATTTATTTGCTTGTTTATGAATAATTTTTAATAATTAATAATAAAATAATTAATAATAAAAAATGATAAAGTTATCTTTAATTATAATTACTAAAGGAAGTTTTTGCTAAGAAATAATTTTGACATTTTTAGGTTCTTTTATATATAAGTTTATTAGTTTTATATTTGTTCTATTAAAAACAATATTAAAGATTTATAATAAATCGAGTTACAACAAGTAAGCACTCAGGCCACAATTTTCAGCAACGAGAAATAAGAAACAAAAATAAAGAGAATAGCACAAGTATATTATCACAAAAAAATCGATGGAATTTTTCGGTTACTGTAAAAAGTTAAAAAAAAACTCCATAAAAATCCATCATTACTATGGTTACTATGTTGCAAGTTCTAAAAATGCCTGCTCATTGATATAAAATGCTGAGTTCAGCAATCACGAATGTTAAGAGTGCGCTCGAACACAATCAAAAATTTAATGAAAAAAAAATTTGCAGAATAATGTAATAAAGGTGTAATAAATTCTAGCAATAGAACAATCGGAGTTGATTGTTTGATTTGGGCAAACAAAATACAGACTAAAAAAAATTGAACCATTCCCACTATAAATTTACCTGTTTTAGACATCTGTAAAGACACCAAAAGTGGTCCTAATTTGAAAGTTTTTTATGTTTTTTTGTATAAAATATAATAAATTTGATTTGTGTAAATTAATAGCATTTTTTCTTAAATCTTATACCAAAATAATAGCAACTACACGATCGACATTTGTAATTTTTTTTTGACAAAATGAAGTAAAATAAGGATAAAATTAAGTGAAATAAATTTTTAATTAAAATATTAGTTAAAGAAAATGAAATAAAATTGTTAAGTTTATTTAGTGTAAATCTAAGCGAAAAAAAAGGTGCGGAGAAAGCCTATTTTAAACCAGTCAAACGGAGTACAAATTACTGATTAGTGGGAAAAAAACACAAATTAGAGCAAACATGTACCTTAAGGACTAAGATAGTACATGTTCTAGTTTGTGAGTTTTCCAAGCAATTTTGATTAAGGCTAAGTTAGGCTCTTTTGATTGGCTCTTTATAAAACTGTATAGAAAAAAAGTATTAAGCTGAATGCTATGAAGATATTCTAAAATTAAAGTTAATAGTTATTTTTATTTTTGTTTGAAGAAAATTCTTAAAAAATAAGTTTATATATTCAAATAAAGCTTACCATGTCTTTTAATGTTGTAGAAAATGTTTATTTTAGTTTCTGAAAATGAATTTATTATTGTTTGTTTGCTTATTTAAATTAACATTTTCAATTTATAAACAAATAAAAATAGACGCTTTTCAATGAATTTATGTAATTGAATTCACCGTTTCCTTTTTTTTAATAAACAAACGAATTTTAAACATAAGTGTTAATAAAAAAAGCTCCCTTTTTTGCACCAAACAAAAAAAAGTTGTACACTTTTAACACTGAGGTGTTTATAATACTCTCAGAACTTTTGAAGCTGCGTAATAATTGTTCTTCTTTAACAAGTTGTAGCTCAAGCCTGAGACAGATTCAAAACACCTCTATTATAAATCAAGTATCACATACATTTAAATTAATATTACATTGAAGTCGATAAAATATGTTTCTTCATCATAGTCGTTAATCAATTTATAACGACGTGCCAAAAAAATATGCAATCCTTCTGGATAGTTAAAAATATATTAAGAACAATGAATGTTTTGTCGAACCATAAAAATTATTTTATCATAAAAGATGAAAAGGGCTGTGATATATAGTTGCCAAATATATTTAGAGAATACGCTAAAGAATTTGAAAGACAAAAAAAATTATATACACAACTCTAACTTGCTTGAGAGAAAAAATGTGAATGGGAACTCACTGGCATACAGGAAGTAAAAACAAGCGCGTGGTCTAAATCTATTAAAATTAATTATAAAAAACATGTGATCTAAGTGCGATAGCTTATGAATTAAATAAATTTTTTGCATCAATTGGTCCTAATTTGACACGAAAAATTTCTATCGTGACCAACAAAATAAACGATTATGGTTTTCCATTAACATCGTTCTAAAATTCCTTCAAGATTCTACTTAAGGAAAATAAGATTTTTTAAAAAATGCTTGAATCTAATAAATTATTTGGTCAAGATGATATTTATTGCAACGTTATTATCAACTTTTACAAAGTCATTAAAGATATTATATTTAAGGTTTTACACTGTTCAAACAGGGAGTTTTTCCTGAAAATCTAAAAATATCTCTTTTAAAAATTAGTTTCACTTGTATTTATAGGAGATAATGCAGCATGATGCAGGTGATACAACATAATACAGACGATGATGAGATGCAGCAAATGTTTTTGTTGGACTTTTATTATTGGACAATTATTGGACAATTATTGGACAATTTTTTTTTTAATTTTAGAATTTTCAATCAATAAAGTACTTTATCACAATTTAAAACATATTTTTCAATCAAATAAAATACTTTATCCCAATTTATACGGCTTCAAAAAAAAGTAATTATCACAAAATTCTATTTGAAAAAAATAAGTAGGGAAGACAAAGGATATATGGCAGTATTGGTAAGTTGACGAATTTCGTCAGAGCCTTGCTTTAGAAAGTGCTAACGTGGAATTTTCCTATTTAACCAATTCATTTTTTACCGTACTATTGTTAGATTTTTTCGGAATTTTTGTGTTTTTTGGACAAAAACGTAACTTTTGTATAATTTACTTTACAAAAAAAAAAAAAAAAAAATTGTGAAAGTTCTAATCACAATTGATTTTCCATTTTCAAGTCAGTTTAAATTAATTATACTTTATATTTAATTAACCAATTTAAAGTAATATTATATTTTTTAGCTTAAAATTTTTGCCAAAATAAATAATAAAATATTTATATAAATTTTGCACCTAATCATACATTAATAATCATTTTTGTAGTTTTTAATGAAATTTTGAGTGTCATTTATTATCAATTTATTTTGACTTTCGGTGCACGTTCCTTAATCATAAAGATTTCAAATGTACTAAAATGATCAACTAAGAATAGTTTTCTAAGACAACATCTTATATATATATATATATATATATATATATATATATATATATATATATATATATATATATATATATATATATATATATATATATATATATGTATAAATATATATATATATATATATATATATATATATATATATATATATATATATATATATATATATATATATATATATATATATATATATATATATATAAATCATGCTTTAAATATAGTTTTTAATGAAATTTTGAGTGTCTTAAAACGTATTTAAAACGTGTAAACGAAATAAATGTGAAAAAGACATTTATTTCGTGTACACGCTTAAACACGTCATTTTTTTTCAATGGTTGTAGTAATTGCGTTTGTATTTTGTTGGCAACATGTAACAATTTCAAAAAAAGATTTTAGTTTTCCAATTTAACTTAACAGAATATGACCAAAAAAGAAGACGTTGGAAAAAATATTTACAATTCAATAGTAAAAAAGTTGTAAATACAATCTATACACAGCGCCATCTTATTTAACGTTTTTTCTAAACAAAATCGATCAAACGCAAATCTGGTAATGAAGGAAAGGAGGTTTTTTAAGATATAAAACTGCCTCTGTATGGCAATCAGCCGGAGAAGGTTAAACCACGCTACCCAAGATATAAAACTGGTTAACAGTTTTATAAATAACCCAAGACTCTCACTTAGGGAACGCGCAAAAAGATAAGAATTTTCTAATGTTTTGTTGTAAAAGTTCTAAATAAGCATGCTTTTCAAGCTTTCAAATCACAAAAAGCGCCTAACCGTTCTGAAATTCAAAAAAAAGTACAAGAACTCGCTGAAGAAAGTTTATGACAAGTATATTTCTTAAAAACTTCTGAATTATTGAAGATGATCAAACTTATATGTAGTACAATCATCATCATATTCCTGGTCTTTTATAATTAAATATAGAAGAAAAGCAGATAAGAAGTTTAAATACACAAACAAGATAAGATTGGTAAAAATCTTTAATTTTGTAAGATGTTTGCAGGTTTGACAAAAAATCAGCACCCTTTATTTCTGGTTCCACGATTTCTGGTAAAATATGTGCCAAAACGTGTTTACAAAAACTTTTTTAACCTTTTACTAAATCACATGGTAATAGACATTTGTTCTGGCTGGATTTATCATTAAGTCATTAGTGCAAACTGGCTTCATCACGATGGTATAAACAAAATGACATGAAAGTTATGTCTAAAATAGCAATTCCTTCAAATTGTCCACAATTAAAAATTATGGCAAAGGTAATTTTTAATAAAAAAATGAAAAGAAAAAAAAACTATGCAGAAACTTAAAGATTTGAAAATATCATTTAAAAAGAATCAAATAGTTTTGACTTTTGTTCTGTGCGCAAGCTTATGGGTAACACCAAAAATATTTTATAGGTAACACCAAAACAAAAGCTCGAAATTTAACACATGAACAAATTAATTTCTTTGAAATATTTTAGTTTCTTATATTATTGCACAGGTATATCAAGTTATGTGGCCTCCTGTACTACTACCTAATTTAAATAAGGCATTTAATGGTAAATATATTCTCCAGCAACAGTTTGCCTCAATTACAATTACTTATTTATGTCTATCAATTTATAAAAACCACCATTTGATTGGCTTAGAAAGAGCGGCCATCCTCGGCGGCAAAAGTTCTCGGTAATGTTTTTCCACAACTAAAACATTTTGTTAAGTACAAAAAATAAAAATACAGTTATAGTATAGTATATAAAAGTACAACTTAGTATAGTAAATAAAAACTGTTCTAAAAAATTAAAAAATTTAAAATATTCAGAGTACTGACAATTTTCGACAAAATATATAATAACTTGAAAAAGTTGCAGTTGTTACTTTTATGTTTTGTTTAAATTTGACGTAATATATATAAATTACATACTTTACAAATACAAACAAGGCTTCTAAAAGAAGATCACAACGATCTCATCTTCAGAAGCCTTTTACAAAAAGAGTACGTAAAGTAACATAAAAACAATGAATCGTACTTAAATAAATATAAATTGTACTCTTATCGTATAAAATAAAATTTGAATATACATGACTCAAAATAATAAAACATTATTTCATCACAAGATAAATTAAAAGTATTCTAAGATATTTTTAATAGAGCAATCGTGGCGCAGTGGTTAGAGTTCTGCTTCTCAGAGGATAACTCAGAGGTCCGAGGTTAGACGCCGCACTGTGGAAAATAAAGGTCTATTTTGGATCAAAAATCAATAACGTTTTTGTTACTAAAGATTAAGTGTTGAAATTTTGCACAAATGTAAAGTATTTGACACTTCTAAAAAAATATTTTTTATAAAAAAAAAATTTTTTAATTTATTTACAATTTTTGCCGATAAAAAAAAGTTTACAGTCATAACTTATAAAAAATAATTACATGACCGGGGCCAAAGTTTGTACGCGAAATAAATGTGACAGAATGAGTACGTCATTTTTTTTCAGTGGTTATATTAAAATCTTTTTAATTGTTTTGTATTTTGTTTACAACCTGTTTTGGTTTCAGAAAAATGTATTATTTTTTTGATTTAACTTAAAACTAGTTTTAAAAATGACAAAAGAAAAAGACATAAGAGAAAATATGCACAAATATTTGGAAAATCCTAATAGTAGCTACAACTCAATAGCAAAAGTGTTGCAAATACATCCATACACCGTTAGTCGTGTAATCCAATGTTTTTCTCAAACAAAATTGATCAAACATAAATCTGGTGGTGAAAGAAAGAAGGGTTTTAAAGGTAAAAAACTAGTTAGAAAACTGGTTAAAAGTTTTAAGACTAACCCAAGCCTTTGACTAAGGGAGCGCGCAAACATTTATGGACTTTATCATAGTTTTGTTGTAAAAGTTTGAAATAAACATAGTTTTCATTCTTTCAAAGCACAAAAAGTGCCCAACCGATCTGAAACTCAACAAAAAAAGTGCAAAAGCTTGAATTCTACGGAATAACTGGTAAAATGATCAAATGGTATAAAAGCTACCTGTCAAATAGAAAGCAATTCGTCTACCACGGAGAAGAATTGCTTCCTATTGATCTTCAAAATAAAACACTAATTGAAATAAAATGTGGTGTTCCACAGGGTTCTATCCTTAGCCCACTTCTCCCACTTCTTTTTTTGTATACGTCAACGATCTAAATAAGGCTTTGAATCTTATGAGCATCATGTTTGCCGACGATACCAAATTATTTTTATTAAACAAAAACATTAACAAACTT